ACACTATATCAACAACAAGCTACAAACTGAACCTGAGTGGACCTCAGAGACCAAACACAGCGCTCTCTGTGCAGTGTGGATGAGAGGCAACAGATGTTCTTCAGGTACAGACGTCAACAAACCTTTCATGTCTGCCTGAAAGCAGCGTCTAAGTGCTTCCTGTCACTTCCTGTTTTTTTTTCGGTTTCCTAGGCGGTCGCTAGACGCTGACCACTTCCTCCTCCGAGCCTTTATCTCCACACAGAATGGCAACTCGCGCTGCAGATAAAGCGATTGTGAAATTTCCAAAAAAAAAAAAACTTGGCAGGAAGTGCACGCTTTGTTATCAGAGCATCAGCTGTAGCGGAGATGCTCAGAATTAAAGTGAAATACAAAAAACTGATTGCTGCATTTCTGTCGCTCAACTTGCCTCAGAAGACTTCACAACTGGCAGAGTAACAGGACGAAGAGTGAATCATGCATTATGTGGGAAAACTCTGTGTCCCGCATTGAAAAACAACCCGATCCCAGAGCTCAGCTGCTGCGACAATAACAAGAAACCCAAAAGATACCAGCGGGTGGATTCAGAGGAGGGAGGGAGGAGGGAAAAAACTCCTGACACAAATTACACAAGATCCCGTAAAGGCCGCTTCCTCCCAACAGATGGGAACCAATTAGCCACATGACTCCCAGAAAGCACTTGGGCAGCCGCGTGGAGCCGAGATGCAAATGAAGCGGAGGGAAAAGGTGGACGCGGACCTGCCAAACCTGCCAACTGTCTTGGGAGAGGAGAGAAATTAATGGGGGAGACAGCAGAGGTGCAGTTTTGGAAAGTGGAATAAAGTGGGAAACGATGTATGGAGAAGGACCGCAGAGCTGGACTGAAGAGGTTACAGGGAGGAGGTGGGGGGGATATCTGTTGATGGAGAACGTCGTCTCATCCTGCAGGCGGCGGATCCTCCATCAGCCGACACTCAACGCCGGCTCGACACATTCAATCTGAGGCCGACATGAAACCATTGATCTAGTTAATGGACATGTTGTCATGTTTATTTAGGTGAAGCGCTGACTGGGCCCGAGGCTGCTGGCTCTGCAGAAACGTCACCACTTGTAAAAAGTCTTGTTCAGTCGTTTCCGTCACATATCCAAAAGATGTTAAGAAGGATACATGAGGCTAAACGGCAGGATCGCGGTTAAATAGAAGCTTTTCTGAGTTCATAATCAAATCTGTGCATTGAATCTGAATTAGGGATGCACTGATATCGGATATTGGGTCGATATCGACTCAAATAGTTTGATAGGGAATCAGTGACAATAAGGCAAATCAATGCATCTAAATTATGTTAATTTACTATATACATTATATACTGGAATTTAAATTCCTGTTGAAGTTTTGCTGCATTGAAAAAAAAGGTTAACACTTGAATTATAACACCTGATCATTTTGAAGATCTTTTACAGAGTTGCTGGATTTATTATTTTAAGAATAAATAACAATTCAGTGAATTCCCAAAATACCTAAAGCCAAGGTATCGTATCGGTATCTGGACTGATAAACCGTCATCCTCAGCTGCAGCCTACATAGTGTTCCGTGCAAAATATCAGCATGTTAGCATTGTCATGTTAGCATTGTCATTGCTAGCATGTCAGCGTGCTGACATTAGCATTTAGCTCGGCTGCTAGCATGGCTGCAGACTCTTGACATTTGCATGATTAATAATAATTAATCTTGGAAGTACAGTGGTTTTACATTTGTGCAGAATGCACGCTTGAAGACTACATCTACATCTTGTTGTTTGGCCACATCGCTCAGCCGTCCATGACATCATTCAACCTATTTGACAGCATGAAAATCACCAAGGTTTCTAAAAAAAGAATGATCCGAAACCTGCAAAGGACTAAAAAAAAAATGAACAAAATAAGGTGCCTGTTTCAATTTGACACAGAATAAAGCTGCAACGTTTTCAGATGCCAAAACTCCCTACACCACATTTCAAACTTCTCATACTCCTCTAAAGTAAGAGAAAGATATAAAGAGAGAGGCTGGAATAAGATGCCAGTACAAGTTAAGCTCTTCAGGATAAATTTAATTCTGTGAACGTGTCTGAAGCTCCGTGCCTCATCAAATTGAAGGCAATGTTTAACTTCATTCCCTCTGACTGCACACAAGAGCTATCAGGCAGCTGTTAGATAAAGCCCAGTAAATATCGCTAAGTGTAGGTGATATAAGGTGACAAATTCCCCCCCGGAGATTCAGTCGCAGGCTGCAACAGCTATGAATCTGCATAATCTTTCAAGAGAGGAAAATAAAAGCAGGGGTATTGCACTGACCCGTTAACATATGTGCTCTTAATCCGTTATTTCTAACAATATACGGCCAAATGTATGTGGTCGCCCGTACGTTACACCCATATGTGATTGTTGAGCATCTAATTCCCCACATGCAAATGAAAATACTTCGTGATTTTGAGTCTAGTTTGTTATCTTGTTCAAATAACTTGAGCAGATTAAACCAGCTGATGTGAAGTCAGGTAACTATTTAGTTTGCAGCTCCACACCTTTGCTCTTTCTCACATTTGTTCCACGCAAACAGCACAATGCTTCAGTGAGATGCCTCGGCAGCGTTATAGAGCACCGTGAGCAGAACTCTATGAGAGCTTTATTACAGCACTTATTTTGGTTGGAGAATGATGCAACATTGGACTTTGGAAAATGAAGAATGAGGAGCGATAACAGACATAACAGGTTTTATGGGCGAAATCCAGATTCTTCATTCTTAATCTCCAACTGTATAAACACACGAATAACCCCCCCGAGTCAAATCCATCACGTTTCACTTAGAAGTGCAAAGTGCAGTTTGTTTTTACTGCCCGTCTTCTTGCGGCCAAATTCTCTTTTTACCTGGCAGGTTGACAGGTTACCACAACTCCGTCCAATAAACAAGCAACTCGTGTGACCGTTGTTTGGATATAATCGGCCGGCGCACATGTGAACTTTAGTGGGTTTGTGGGCTGATGTTTCAGAGCCTCGAATATGGCGTTTTGGCCGTCGCCATCTTGGCTTTTTTAGCAACCGGTTAACAGGAAGTGACCATATCTGGACTGAGGAGGCGTGACGCAGAGACGCTGTATACGTCTCTGGTAGAGACCTGTCAATCACCGTGTAGCCCCGCCCTAAAGCATCCCCTGCTTTATGGTCTGTTTGACTCTAAATGGACCATAATGTACTAAATGAACATCATGCTGTATTGAAGAAGACTTGAAACTAGAGATTGAGACCATAAACTCATGTTTACAATGTTTACTGAGGTAATAAATCAAGAGAGAAGTAGAGTCATTTTCTCATAGACTTCTATACAACCAGAGGAGTCGCCCCCTGGTGGTCACTAGAGAGAATGCAGCTTTAAAACACTTCCACATTGGCTTCACTTTTCAGAACCGTGGGTTGCCAACTATTTTCATTGTCAATTATTATCTAATCTCAACCAATGTCCAAAGAGCACGTTGATCTTGATGTGTGAAATTGGTGGAGTGCCTCTTTAAAGTGGATCCTGCTTTATTATTTAATCTCAAAGTTCAATCTTACAAATATGTCAAAAACTACACAATGCTTGTCAATAAAAGTTGCCATCTACACAGCTGTAAACACACACTCAACACCCACACATACCCCACTTGCCATCTACAGCATGTCATCATCGGTGTGAGACCAAAGAAGCGTGCAGGAAATGGTTTTACAGACGAGGAGGAAGCAGCTCACCAAGCCGTGAAGGTTTACAGGCTGCAGGACAAGAAACCAAACGGACACAAACTCTCATTCTAACACAGTAATCCTGCAGGCAATTAAGTTAGCCCGAGAATGAAGCGTGAGTTGAAACACATCCTAAATGTTGGATGAAGTCCAGCAGCAGCAAATCAGGCGTTTAGAAAAAAAAAGAAAAAGCAGGGGGGATTACAAGGTTTTTTAAATTCATGGAGGAAGAAGATATATATAGAAATGTAATGAGAAAAGAAGAAAGCAGCGTTTTCAGAATGTGACCAAACTTCACATTTATATTACTGGAAATCCTCCTCATGAGACTCCCTTTTCATCAGCATTTCACAAAAGTGAAACAACAATCTCTTTCTTCAAGCAGAACATGAGAACATGGATGCCCTGTGGCTCAGCTGGAGCGCTTATCTATTCAAATTCTGCATCTGAAAACACACACACACACACACACACACACACACACACACAGGAAAAAGGGGAAAACAAGCCACTTACAGATTTCATTATCGCCTCACACTTCCCACACCAGGCTCACAGGAAAGATGCTTTTTGATGAATACAACTTTAAATGCGACACTAAAACACCAGTTTAGAATGGAAGGAGGGGGCCAGAGTGTCTCCAAACCACAAAGGATGAAGACGTGAGGTAAACAATCACTAACAATGGGCCACAATGACAGTAGACCC